AAAAAAGAGTCCTGCACTATTTTGGTGCGGAGGTGGTGCGATCTGAGCCACACAAAATGTATTGCTCGAATTGCACCGCACAGAAATCGCATGTGATTTGCACAGGACTGTGGTGCGGTTCCTGTGCGAATCCCATGTGATGTGCCGCACCGCATCATGATCGCACCCCATTCATGTAAACCGCGGTGGGTGTGCATGTTAACGACACCCCAAAATCAGTTCGCAAAACACAGTGCGATGTGCAGAATTGGATGGCATAGGTGTAAACAACCATGCGATCTGATTCTGGTGAGGACAAAAAAAAGAGTCCTGCACTATTTTAGTGCAGAGGTGGTGCGATCTGAGCCATGCAAAATGTATTGCTCGAATTTCACTGCACAGAAATTGCATGTGATTTGCATACGAATGCGGTGAGGTTCCTGTGCGAATCCCATGTGATGTGCTGCACCGCATCATGATCGCACCCAGGGGTGGACTGACAACTCATGGGGTCCCTGGGCTATAGGGGATCATGGGGCCCCTGTGTCCTTGCCCACACTCAAACCACACCCAAAAAAGCCAATGAAAGGTACCAAGGGCATCTCATGGGGCCCTCTACTGACCCCGGGCCCTCGGGCAGTGCCTGAGTTCTCGAATGGTCAGTCCACCCCTGATCGCACCCCATTCATGCGAACCGTGGTGGGTATGTGTTAACGACACCCCAAAATCAGTTCGCAAAACACAGTGCAATGTGCAGAATTGGATTGCATAGGTGTGAATACTCACACGATCTGATTCTGGTGCGGACAAAAAAAAAAGAGTCCTGTACTATTTTGGTGCGGAGGTGGTGCGATCTGAGCCATGCAAAATGTATTGCTCAAATTGCACCGCACAGAAATCGCATGTGATTTGCACAGGACTTCGGTGCGGTTCCTGTGCGAATCCCATGTGATGTGCTGCACCGCATCATGATCGCACCCCATTCATGCGAACCGTGACGAGTGTGTATGTTAAGTTAACAACCCCCCCGAAATCAGTTCGCAAAACACAATATGCAGAATCGGATCACATAGGTGTGAATACTCACACGATCCGATTCTGCTGCGGACAAAAAAAAAAAAAAAAAATGAGTCCTGCACTATTTTGGTGCGGGTGCGTGCGATCTGAACTACACAAAATGTACGGCTCAAATTGCACCGCACAGAAATGGCGCAGGAATGCGGTGCGGTTCCTGTGCAAATCATGCGATGTGCCGCACCGTATCAGTGTGAACCCGGACTTAGACTCTCCACTCCATCGATCTGATTGATGTGAATGGTTGTTTTATAAAGTGCTGTATATTATGTTGGCAATATATAAATATAAGGTGTTGCTGTAAAAATTTTCTGGAACATTCAGGTTGTCACATTAGCATGGCAGGAGTGAGAAAAATATGTTTTTTAAACCAACTCACCACATCGATATTTTGGTTCAATGCCTTGATATCACTCCACGGTGCTGCATTCAAGTATTGTCCAATGAATGTTTGTATCCAGGATCTTGTGTCACGGCGACCTATGCAGGCAGAACCTGAACATACATTTGTTTAGTTAGGAGCCATAGGATGCAGATATTCATGCCAATAAAGATTAAAGGTCTAATCTACCTGTATACAGGGGCGGACTGACCATTTGGAAACTCGAGCAGTGCCTGAGGGCCCGGGGTCAGTAGGGGGCCCCATGAGATGCCCCTGGTACCTTTTTCATAGGCTTTTTTGAGTTTGGGTAAGGACACAGGGACCCCATGATCCCCTATTGCCCGGGGGGCCCCATGAGTTGTCAGTCCGCCCCTGCCTGTATATGCACACTCAGGGATAAGGGGGGGACCACCAGTTCTCCACTATATAAACCTGGGACCCTGCATTCACTATATAAACTCAGGACCCTGCATTCAGTATATAAACCCGGGTCCCTGCATTCACTATATAAACCCGGGACCCTGCATTCACTATATAAACCCGGGCCCTGCATTCACTATATAAACCCGGGACCCTGCATTCACTATATAAACCCGGGACCCTGCATTCACTATATAAACCCGGACCCTGCATTCACTATATAAATCCCAGACCCTACATTCACTATAAAAACCCAGGGACCCTGCATTCACTATATAAACCCGGGCCCCTGCATTCACTATATAAACCCGGGCCCCTGCATTCACTATATAAACCCGGGCCCTGCATTCACTATATAAACCCCAGGGCCCCTGCATTCACTATATAAACCCGGGACCCTGCATTCACTATATAAACCCGGGACCCTGCATTCACTATATAAACCCGGGACCCTGCATTCACTATATAAACCCGGGACCCTGCATTCACTATATAAACCCGGGACCCTGCATTCACTATATAAATCAGACCCTGCATTCACTATATAAATCCCAGGACCCTGCATTCATATATAAACCCGGGCCCCTGCATTCACTATATAAACCCAGGACCCTGCATTCACTATATCAAACCCGGGACCCTATATAAAAACCCCAGGACCCTGCATTCACTATATAAATCCCAGACCCTACATTCACATTCACTATATAAAACCCCAGGGCCCTGCATTCACTATATAAACCCAGGGCCCCTGCATTCACTATATAAACCCGGGACCCTGCATTCACTATATAAACCCGGGCCCCTGCATTCACTATATAAACCCGGGACCCTGCATTCACTATATAAACCCGGGCCCCTGCATTCACTATTTATAAACCCGGGCCCCTGCATTCACTATATAAACCCGGGACCCTGCATTCACTATATAAACCCGGGACCCTGCATTCACTATATAAACCCGGGCCCCTGCATTCACTATATAAACCCGGGCCCCTGCATTCACTATATAAACCCGGGCCCCTGCATTCCCGGACTATATAAAAAACCCAGGACCCTGCATTCACTATATAAACCCGGGGGCCCCTGCATTCACTATATAAACCCGGGCCCCTGCATTCACTATCACTATTCATAAACCCGGGCCCCTGCATTCACTATATAAACCCGGGACCCTGCATTCACTATATAAAACCCGGGCCCCTGCATTCACTATATAAACCCGGGCCCCTGCATTCACTATATAAACCCCCGGGACCCTGCATTCACTATATAAACCCGGGACCCTGCATTCACTATATAAACCCGGGCCCCTGCATTCACTATATAAACCCGGGCCCCTGCATTCACTATATAAACCCGGGACCCTGCATTCACTATATAAACCCGGGACCCTGCATTCACTATATAAACCCGGGCCCCTGCATTCACTATATAAACCCGGGGCCCCTGCATTCACTATATAAACCCGGGACCCTGCATTCACTATATAAACCCGGGACCCCTGCATTCACTATATAAACCCGGGCCCCTGCATTCACTATATAAACCCGGGACCCTGCATTCACTATATAAACCCAGGGACCCTGCATTCACTATATAAACCCGGGACCCTGCATTCACTATATAAACCCGCCCCCCTGCATTCACTATATAAACCCGGGCCCCTGCATTCACTATATAAACCCGGGACCCTGCATTCACTATATAAACCCGGCCCCTGCATTCACTATATAAACCCGGGCCCCTGCATTCACTATATAAACCCGGGACCCTGCATTCACTATATAAACCCGGGCCCCTGCATTCACTACCCTGCATTCACTATATAAACCCGGGACCCTGCATTCACTATATAAACCCGGGACCCTGCATTCACTATATAATTCCCCCAGGGACCCTGCATTCACTATATATAAACCCAGGACCCTGCATTCACTATATAAACCCAGGAACCTGCATTCCTATATAACCCGGACCCCTGCATTCACTATATAAACCCGGGACCCTGCATTCCCTATATCTGGTCTCCCACAGTACACAGAACATGAAAATGCAATTATTTTAGTAAATATAAACTGCTAAATACCTTTTCTCATCAGCAGTTAGAGCAGTCTTGTGACTTCTATCAGTGTTCAGCAGAGCACTGGTTAAAGCTTGTAGGAAGAGTTTTCTTTCTGCTCTAGGAGGATTCAGAACCCCTGACCTCTGTCTGGACAGTCCTGATTGGCCCTGTGCTGATCACATACACTCTCCCACGAACAAAAAAAGAAACCTCTCTAGCAATACACACTAAACTGAGCATGTGCAGAATAGCTACGGTTCAGTCTGTCTTATCAGGAGATAAGACGTGTACATTTGAACAAGAGGAGGAGCAGAGAAGACAGGATCAAACAGCCTTTTTACACAATGCAGAGGATTAACCCCTTAGGTTCCACAGTGAGTATAACAAGCATGCTTTACTGCATATACAGACTGATTGTACTGTTGTGGGTTTAGTAACACTTTAAATAAGATTTTACAGTTAGAAAAAGAACAGAAAAAGTCCTTTTCACACGTTAAAATGGTCACTGCTCTTTAAAACTGTTCTTTTTTTTCTGCAACCAACTTTATGGGGCAAAGGAGTACAAAATGTTTAGGTAACCTAGCAAAAAAGTGAAGCTATGTTCTGTTTTATCATCCAATCGGGTGCAAGCACAAGTCCTTTTTTTTTTTTTTTTTTTTTTTTTTAAATCCTTTGCACATGACTGAGATTTAGCCTCAGCTCACATGTATGAAATTAGAGGTGTTTTGAATATCATCCGATGCGCATGACATGTGAATCTGCAGTCTTTTCAATGTACCGGACGCACGTATTTTCAAAAAGAGTCCGGTACGATTTTGAGCCCGTTTCAGGTGCAATTTCCAATGTCATACACTTTGATAATTCGCAGTTGAATCGCACCTGAACCGTTGAACAAAGTCGCAATAGAGGGGGCGAAAAATCGTACACATACAGTTGTGTTCAAAATAATAGCAGTCAGACATCACTAACCGGATCAATCACTGTTTTTGGTAGAAATGATATTTCTACATGGCAAATAATTTACTAGCAGGTGTAGTAGAGTAATAGAAATCCAACAGACCCAACAGTCATGACCAGGGGCGGACTGACAACTCATGTGGCCCCCGGGCAATAGGGGATCATGGGGCCCCTGTGTCCTTGCCCAAACTCAAAAAAGCCTATGAAAAGGGTACCAGGGGCATCTCATGGGGCCCCCTACTGACCCCGGGCCCTCGGGCAGTGCCCGAGTTTCCAAATGGTCATGACATGCATGCTGCTGATTCTGTGTCATTGAATCACTCATTGAAAGGGGCACGTTCAAAATAATAGCAGTGTGGAGTTCTATTAGTGAGGTCATTCATTCTTTGAAAAACAGGTGGCAATTATTGCCCTTATTTAAGGAAGGAAGGCAGCAAATGTTGTACATACTGGTTACAGTGCATTTCTCTCTGAAATTCTGAGGAAAATGGGTCGTTCCAGACATTGTTCAGAAGAACAGCGTACCGTATTTTCCGGCGTATAAGACGACTTTTCAACCCCTGAAAATCTTCTGAAAAGTCGGGGGTCGTCTTATACGCCGGTGCGAGCCGGTGTCAGGGCGGCACTTTTTCGAGGGGCGGCGCGCGCGCGCCGCCCCCCCCTCCTCCTCCAACAGACACAAAGTACAGGGGTGGGCAGAGGGGCTGCTGTACCTTACCTGGCTCCGGTCCCACGACGATACGGTCCAGGAAGCGCGACTGCTCCTTCTTTCAGTTCGGCCGCTCGATGGTCACACGCGGCCGCTCGGCTCCGCCTCCTCACCGGTGATTGGGCGCCAGCACTGGAAAGGCACACAGGCGACCAATCACCGACGAGGAGGCGGAGCCGAGCGGCCCCGCGAAAATCAAGCGGCCGAACTGGAAGAAGGAGCAGCCGCTCCTCTCCCCCATTGACACTATCGATGGGGCACTATTCCTCCCCCACTGACACCAACGATGAGGCACTGTTCCTCCCCCACTGACACCAACGATGAGGCACTATTCCTCCCCCACTGACACCAACGATGAGGCACTGTTCTTCCCACTGACACCAATGATGGGGCACTATTCCTCCCCCCACTGACACCAATGATGGGGCACTCTTCTTCCCACTGATACCAATGATGGGGCACTATTCCTCCCACTGACACCAATGATGGGGCACTATTCTCCCCACTGACACCAATGATGGGGCGCTATTCCTCCCACTGATACCAATGATGGGGTGCTATTCCTCGCACTGATACCAATGATGGGGTGCTATTCCTCCCACTGATACCAATGATGGGGTGCTATTCCTCCCACTGATACCAATGATGGGGTGCTATTCCTCCCACTGATACCAATGATGGGCCGCTATTCCTCCCACTGACACCAATGATGGAGCACTATTCCTCCCACTGACACCAATGATGGGACACTATTCCTCCCACTGACACTAATGATGGGACACTATTCCTCCCACTGACACCAATGATGGGGCACGATTCTTCCCACTGACACCAATGATGGGGCACTATTCCTCCCACTGACTAATGATGGGGCACTATTCCTCACGCACCATCATTGGTGTCAGTGGGAGGAATAGTGTCCCATCATTGGTATCAGTGGGAGGAATAGTGCCCCATCATTGGTGTCAGTCGATGAAATAGTGCCCCATCATTGGTGTCAGTGGGAGGAGTAGTGCCTCATCACTGCTGTCAGTAGGAGGAATAGCACCCCATCATTGGAATACCATACTGAAATAGCATACCATATTGAAATCAAATCTGATGTTTTTTCATTTTTATTTGGTGTGCGTTGGAAGAGGGGTAGTCTTATACGGCGAGTATAGCTCAAACCCTATATTTTAACAGGAAAAGTAGGGGGTCGTCTTATACGCCCAGTCGTCTTATACGCCGGAAAATACGGTACCTTGATTAAAAAGTTGATTGGAGAGGGGAAAACATATAAAGAAGTGCAGAAAATGATCGGCTGCTCAGCTAAAATGATCGCAAATGCTTTAAAATGGCAACCAAAACCTGAAAGACGTGGAAGAAAGCGAAAAACTACCATTCGAATGGATAGAAGAATAGCCAAAATGGCAAGGACTCAGCCAACAATCAGCTCCAGGAAGATGAAAGAAGGTGTGACGTTCCCTGTGAGGACTGTTACAATTAGAAGACGCCTATGTGAAGCCAAGCTATCTGCAAGAAGCCCCCGCAAAGTCCCACTATTGGAAAAAAGACATGCTGAAGAGGTTACAATTTGCCAAAGAGCACATTGACTGGCCTAAAGAGAAATGGAGCAACATTTTGTGGACTGATGAAAGTAAGATTGTTCTTTTTGGGTCTAGTGGCCGGAGACAGTTTGTCAGACGACCCCCAAACACTGAATTCAAGCCACAGTACACTGTGAAGACAGTGAAGCATGGTGGTGCAAGCATCATGATATGGGGATGTTTCTCATACTACGGTGTTGGGCCTATTTATTACATACCAGGGATCATGGATCAGTTTGAATACATCAGAATACTTGAAGAGGTCATGCTGCCTTATGCTGAAGAGGAAATGCCCTTGAAATGGGTGTTCCAACAAGACAACGACCCCAAACACACCAGTAAACGTGCAACATCTTGGTTCCAAAGCAACAAGATGGACGTTATGGAGTGGCCAGCCCAATCCCCGGATCTTCATCCAATAGAAAACTTGTGGGGTGACATCAAAAATGCAGATTCTGAGGCAAAACCAAGAAATAGAGAAGAACTGTGGAATGTAGTCCAATCATCCTGGCTGGAATACCTGATCACAGGGGCCAGAAGTTGGGTGACTCCATGCAACACAGATGTACAGCAGTTCTCAGAAACAGTGCGACTACAACCAAATATTCATGAAGTGATTCAAAGGAAAGCAAAATCTTCAAACATTTTTCAGTTTATATAGTGAATGTTTGAGTTTGTAAAGAAGAATACAAACACTGTGATTTTTTTGAACCGTCTAATATTCACTTTTCTTTAATTTTTTTAGAGGAACAACACAAATGTGATATATTTATCTTCATGTTTTGATTTAAAATAGAATGTGTCGTGTTCCCAATGCATTTGTGTGGATGGAAATAAAAGCTAAAAGAAGGATTTTGAGCTTTATTCACTTTTTTCAACACACTGCTATTATTTTGAACACAACTGTATGTGAACCTGGGCTTAAACTGAACATACTTTCACCGTATTCACTAAGCTAATGTCACCTTTTGGCAAAGTGAACATAGTGTGTGCCTTTAGTAATTCAATCCGTATGAATGTGATGAAGGGCAGGCAAAAATACAGGATGCTTTGCTTGTGTACAATTCCTCCCATAGTATCTGGATGGCAGTTACTGTACCTGAGTTTGCTATCTGTGTTTTCAGAACGGAGCTCACAAAGTTAAAAGCGGCACTGGGGTTTTCAGGGTTTTTAACTTCTTTTAAGGGTTTCATGCTGCAGAAGGGAAAAAAAAAGAGTTATCTGGGGTTTACTGGAAATTTGAAAATATAGTACTACCTCCCAGCCTTTTTCTTCCACAGAGACTATTGGACACCGATTGTGAGAGATGGTCAAGAACTATTTGCCATTGGCTGGAGGATATTGATGGACAGGTGCTAACTGACAAGCACTGAAAGAAACCGATTAACATACATGAACAGACAGGTGGATACATATCACTCATGGACTACCTCCCCACTCCCGTTAATCCCTTCCTACAAAGAAAGCAAGCTATTCCCACCTCAACCAACCCTGAGAAAGGTGAAAATGGATAAAAAGTATGCCTTGATCTTAAAATGTATTGTTTACTCCAATATAATTTACATAAAGTGTCACTGGCAGGTCAGAGCAAGGGTTCAACTCAGTGGAGGACTGGAGACCAATGGACACCAATTGTGAGAGATGGACAAGAACCATTTGACATTGGCTGGAGGATATTGATGGACAGGTGCTAACTGACAAGCACTGAAAGAAACCGACTAACATACATGAACAGACGAATGGTTACATATCACTCATAAACTACCTCTCCAATTATTTTAATCCCTTCCCACAACCAAAGCAAGCTATTCCCACCTCAACCAACCCTGAGAAAGGTGGAAGTGGATAAAAAGTATGCAGTGATCTTAAAAAATATTGTTTACTCCAATATAATTTGTATAAAGTGTCATAGGCAGGTCAGAACAAGGGCTCAACTCAGAGGAGGACTGGAGACCAGAGGACACCGATTGTGAAAGATGGACAAGAACCATTTGCCATTGGCTGGAAGATATTGATGAACAGGTTGTCAAGCACTGAAAGAAACTGACTAATATACATGAACAGATGGATGGATATAGAATACTCGTGGACTACCCTCCAATCCCTTCCCACAACCAAAGAAAGCTATTCCCATCTCAACCAACCCTGAGAAAAATTGGAAGTGGATAAAAAGTATGTTTTGATCTTAAAAATATTGTTTACGCCAGGGATGTCCAACCTTTTGACTTTCCTGGACCACAATGGAAGGAGAGGAATTGTCTTGGGCCACATATAAAAACACGCTAACAATAAGGCTCGCCAATGGGCAGAATAAGGTGGACAGATCACAAGTTAACGATCACTGATATATATAATGTACTTATCTGAGCAATAAAACTTAATTTTTTTTGTAATATTTTTATTATAAAGGTAACAGAGGGTTGCATAAACGTGTGCAATATTTGACACTGTTCTTGATAAACTAAAGCATCGACATCTGGTTCAATGGATGTAGTAGCAATTCTGGATTAATTCTCAAGCTGCTCATCACATATTTTCAGTTCTAATTTTGCCCTCTGTGCTTCATCTCTGAATATTATTGCTCACAAATATAAGTGCTGACAAAAAAACTGATGACATGAATAAGGCATGATTGTTAAGAGCGGGAGATTTCTCTTTGTGAAGATAAAACTTATAGAAATCCAGTAAAGAGACACTGTCAAATTTTTCTTTGGTCGAATTTGTGTTCGCTAAGTGTAAACTAATTTTTACAAAAAATGTAAAGAAAAACTCAACATTTTAAGTTAGATTTAGGATTTTGTGTTGGGCCACATTCATAGCCATCTTGGGCCGCAGGTTACACACCCGTGGTTTACACCAATATAATTTTTAGAAAGTGTCATAGGAATATCAGAGCAAGGGAGGATTGGAGACCAATGGACACCGATTGTGAGAGATGGACAAGCACCACTTACCATTGAGAATTTTGTTA